GCAGAAACAGGGAACAAGTCTAACTCATTCATAGGCTGTGTTTCATCATGATAAGTTGTGAGGAAAACTTATTTACAGAAAATTAGACCTCTCAACAATAGAAGAGTCCAGCTAGCCTTCACCTTATCCATCCCTTCTCCCATTACTCTCTGCATTATTGTTAATGACTTTTGAGAGACACTGTTCAACTGGAAGGCTTTGCCTCTTGTTTAAGAGGACACTATCAAATGGAAACGTGGAGACACCAGAGAGATGACTGAGAGAGAGTGTCCTAGTCCTCTCAACAGAGTCATACATCTCTGTATGCTTTGCTTGGCCTTTTGGTCCCAGATGTGAGCTGGGAACATAGAGTTCAAGAAAACAACCACAGAGAAATAAAGTACTCCAAAGGAATACAAATCTTAAAGGAAATTTGTTGAACCTATTAATCATGGAACATACAGGAAATTAATTTAAAATGATGTCATAAAAATAGCACATGAAAGAAGTGCAAATGTAACATAATTTCTATAAATAGAAAAGAATCTTTATACTAACACTTGTGTAAGTTATAAGCTGAAAACAAACCAGGTGGCCAGTCTATTGGGTAAGAGCTGTTAAATGTTGGATACTGAGACCCAAAGAAACAAAGATCGTCTTGTGCCCACAGGTGCAAACCTCACAGTGAGTTCAGTATTGGAGAAATATCACCTGAAATGATACAAGGTAAGAGAGTGCACCTAACTTGATGCTCTTTCCCACAGTAGAGCAGATGTAAGGCAGACAAATTTGATTACCCTATGATTATCTCTGAACTAACTTATTCTTGTTCTGTAGTTCCAGTTGTTGAGATGAAAATTGTTTGGTTTCACTGCTTTTTTGCTTATTTTTCCTTTGATTCCTTTTCCTTTGATAACTCTTCTGTGCCAAAGCTGCAAACTACAGAGCAAATTACTTGAAAGTATGAGATACCATGCATGCTACACTTACTAGAGGTCTACAAAACTGTTTTTAGCATTACTACAACCCCCTGTTGCAATCTTTGTATATGTTCCCTATTTGCTTTCAAGTGAAGAGTTGTGCTCTTTTTTATGTTTTCTGGTACCCTGTGCTTGCAATCACCTATTGCAATGGGGTTTTGGTCTCTGCTGGAGTTCCTAAATACTGCTAAAAGGTCTGTGGGGTTGACAATGTTTCTGGACAATCACTATTGGAATAATGAGACATCACCAAGACGGACTATTCCCTCTCAAGTCCATGCCGTTGCTGCTCAGTCTGTACTCTCTTTCTTCAAATAGACACTATGACCTGGCAGAAACTACTGGGTTGAGACAAAACCTAAAGAAAGAAAAGGAAAACATTTCTCATTAAAGCTGTTGACTAATCACACCATTCTGGGAGAATACAGTTGGCTGTGGAGGCATCTCCAGACCATCCTGGACATACGTGTGTTGCCAAGGCACAGCTGTGCCTTATGTACCATGTCCAGGTAACTTCAGATGTTAGAGAGGAATTCAACTCAAAGTTTGTAAATATGGGTATTTCACAACAGTAGAAAGAACCTTCTTTTGGGGGTTGATCCCTAGTATGGGGTGTTTCTTTCTGTAGATACTACGATGAAGACAAAAAGCCATATTGCAGTACAGGTACAAGAGTTAGTTACACAGGCCATTCTGAATCTGTCATTACTAAGCTGGTACTGCTACACTCAAGAAAACTTACAGAAGAGCAAGAAATGCAATCTGAGGATAATTTAGGAGGGATGATTAAAATAGCTGAGTGTGTACTTGAAAACCAGCTTGGAATGTCTGTTTTCAATCATGTTTAAGTCTGGAAAGTCAGAGAATGGTCAGATATTGGAAATAGCTAATTATTTGAAGATGTTTTGGTGGCTCTGTCAGTTCAACACACTTTTCAAATACTTAGTGACATAATTTTATAATCAGGTTTTTCATTTTTAGTAAAAGTGATTTTTTCATGAGTGTTTATAACTCCTGTATTCAAGTTTCTAAAAAGTTGGTTAAAAAAAATTAATCAAATGCAAAAGGACACAATAGAAATAGTCCCTGCAAGAAACTCATGTAATTTTTCCAGTGCAGAAAAACTTGGAAATAGCTCATTAGAGTTTTCCTATTTTTTTTAAATTTGGAGCTTTGATAGCACATATATCACGAAAAGTACCTTCACTGAAGAAAGAGGTTCTGAGGTCTTGAATAACTGAAACCAAAGATTTGGAATGGACTGTTTTTCTCTTTCTGAAATGCACTATCATGTCTGAAATATTTATGACATCAGGCACAGAGGGAGGAAGCAGTTGAATGCAGAGCCTGAACTACCTGTGCAAAATATGTCCTGACATTGTCTTTTCTGGAACAAATACAAAAATTTTGATTTTTTTTTTTGCATATGATAATGATCTGATTCATTTCCTGCTAAGATTCTTGCTCAAATGTTAAACACAATTTTTTTTTTTATTTTTTTTTATTTTTTTTTTTTTTTAGTAGTATAACAAGCAGTTAAATATGTATCTCTGCATCCCAGCACAGTGTTTTCCGTCTCTGTGCAGGAAACAAACTTTAGCTGGCTCTGCAATGTTTCCCTTCTGTTAAAAGAAAAAAGAAAAAAAAAAAAAAAGAAAGAAAAAAGAAAGTGCTTTTTCAGTGTATTAGCATCAGATAGACTTAGGCATGAGACATGCGTCTATGTGTTCCTCTCAACCTTTCCTGCATTGAAGCACACTGACACACGTCCCTTTGCTCAGTGTGTCTTGAAGGAGTTCTTCCTTGGAGCTGATAAATGCTGTTTTTCCTCCTTGAGGGAAATTCTAGTGTCGGGATGTTAAACCCTAACTTCCTCACAGCCACAGTGATGGCTTGCACCCAGTGGGCTGTGACAGGGTATTTTCTCTCCCGATGAGCTGAAATGAAGCAAAAGCCATCCAACAGCAAGCATAAGAGATCCCATTCCTCTCTCCCCATGACTGCCTGGTAGTGCAGCTTGTGCCTTGTAGGGTCTGTGAGGACTCCAACCCTGGGGTACCTACAGCGGCCCCAGTGGCTGGAGACGTGCTGGGGAAGCAGTGTTGTACCTCCTGGGATATCAGAGCCCAGGGTGGTTGTAGCTCTGTCCAGAAACCTGCAAAATCCCTGTTTTGAAATAGGCATAGCACTTCATTTTCACTGGAAATATATTTTACATCTCCAAATACGTCTCTGGACAGCCCGTAACAGATGGCCCCGTCATATAGTTTGGGATACAGCAAAACAAGCTGATCGACACAAGAGTGTAATATATGTAGAGATAGGAAAAAAGTCCATCACAATACTAAGCATGTGGTACTTCAGAAAGCCATGCAGAGGTATTTCCTGATGGTGTCTAAAAAGCTGAAGAAGTAGCCTTGTACATTGATAATGTTGACCCAATTAAGAGTATGAAAATTGTAGAAAATATATTAAAAGAAAATGTGATTTCCAGATTGTTGGTTTCAAGGGATGGATCCTCAGCAGCAGCAAGCTGGGAGCCTGTTTGCCCAGGTGATGAGGGGTCCATTTGGCCTGACCTCCAAGGCCCCAGTACCGTGATGTTTGTGTTTCAGGTTCCTGAATCCTACAGCCTCTTCAGAGATGCCTGTGGAGATGCAGGATTATGCATATGGGAAGTATAAGGGCTGATACAACCAATCTAGCCTGTAAGAAAAGCCAAGATCAAGACTGCTCTGAGCAGCCTTTTTATGGGTCTTGGGCACCTGCCTCCATGTTTGGTTGCCATCCCTGCCTCTTCTCTGGGAGCTGGACCTCTTTCGCAGGGATGCAGGAAGATCTGGGTGACGCTTGGAGGAAGTTATACTTAACCATAAGGCCTCTCCCCCTCGCACGCCAAGGGAATTTCCTTAGTTGGTGGTATCAGTTTATATTTTGCCTTACTCCCTGCAGCTTGCCAGGAAGCCCTGCAGCAGGCGCGCTCGTACGCGGGCACTTTTGATCCTGCTGTGTGCCCCAGTGTTTGTGTGCGATGGAGCTACCTGTCAGCGTGCTTGGCTGGAGTCCAGCCCCGTGCAGGTCTGGGGAGCAAGCAAGCAGCTTGGGAGGATCCGTTCTGCATGACTTGTCTCAGAAGTCTTGTTCTGGAGTAACAGATTTGTGTGGTGCTGATAATAGGGGTTTGTGTGTTTGTCATAGTGGTCTTCAGAACAGGGTGCCAAAACTTACTGTAGTGTTTACTGTTTTATAGCTGTGTATTAATGGAAAATCCTAATGTTCCTGTCAGAAACAAATTGTTTTCACCCCATCTGAGAAAGTGCAAATTAAGAAAGGGACTACATTGTCCAGCTTTGCCTCACATGAAGGCCCCTTTCTGTTGATGCAATTTCCTTGGGATTCAAATGCTCTACAGGACTATTTTCAGAGAAATTAGGGGTTTTCCCCCGTTGAGTCATGCTGATGCAACTGTTCTACAAAGACAAAACTTTCCATATGTTTAGAATAAGCTTTGGTGTCTTAGCCTGTGGACTTCCCTGCTATGTCCTTCTCTGTTAAGGCTGGAAATCAGCATCACGTTATTCTGACTGAATGCTTTCAGAAAGGATATGATAAAAAAAATCTCACAACCCTGCTTCCTTGGCAGAGGAAGTTCCGAAGGCAGGCTGTTGAATGAGTAACTGTTTACACAGCATTATCACACTCTGCCGCAATGGCAAGGACAGGCCAGAAGAAAAATAAAGGGAATCTGCTCCTTTGCATTTAAACTTTCAGTCTGAAGATCTAACCAGGGGATTGAGCTGCTGGCATGGCAGGCCTGATATGGAACACAACAAAGTTAAAATTGTTTATTTTTAATTTATAATATTCCTTTTTGTTGTAGCTTGAAGACAAATACCTGAAGCCCTGCAAGTCAGATTAAAGCATAGGCACCAGCAGTGCATGCCAAGGCTGCACTTCCAGGATCATGAAAGGATGCCAAGCTGTTCTGCTTTCAATTACATAAGTATTATACCTCCTGCTCCAAAGACTGCAAGAGTACATTTAACTGCTTTCCCTCAGCAGCCGTTTCTAGGTGGGGTTAGGAGAAGAGTGCCCTGGGCTCAGCCCGGCTGGCACTGCTGCAGCCGAGCTGACGCGCTGACGCACTCTGGTTAACAGAGGTAAGTACTGGGAAGCAGTTTTGCCCTGCTTGAAAAGATTTGGAAGGCATTTCTGCTCATCTTTCAGGATGGCCAATGGATTCATGAGCTCCCTCCCTCTTCTTCTGCTTCTGCTTTTTCTCTGAGGCAGGGGTCTGGGGCGGGGTGTCGCCAGACTTGGGCTCCTTCTGCACTTCTACTTGTCCTTCCTCAGCAGAAAAGCAAAAAGCAGCTCTGAGTGTGGATGCTGACATACAGGACAAAAGAGAGGAAGGGAGGGGACCCGCTGCAGGATCCTCTAATGTGGAACTGGGAAGGGGAAGTGGTTTAAAGAGTGCAATATGCCCAGATACTGCAGGAAATGGAGGAGTCGATAACCCTTGGCTGGCGGAGGGGAGAGGGCTGGCGGAGGGGAGAGGGCTGCCGGGATCTAGCAACTGGAGCCTGATTCTAAAGTCGTGTTCCCCAGAGTAATACAACATAGATGCAGAAAGAGGAGGCAGTGAGGATATAACTGAAATAACCCTCGTAACTGATGGCAGACTGACTGAGGATTAGTGTTGCCACTTGGTTTGTGACTTTTGATCAGCAAGTCCATTCCTGTGGAGTTCTGCTTCACATAAATGTATTTTTGTTTCTACATTTATTTTGGTCAACACCCATCTCATACAGCCCCCCATCGCTGGTTGCTGCCCCGTCTAGCAGCAGGAGTTTCCTGGTGGAGGAGGGTTGTGGCAGGAGCCTGTCCCGCTGCCAGCAGAGGCAATGCAGGGACCCGACACTGAGCAGTGGCAGGAAGGGATGCTGAGCAGGGGGTGACTGGGAGTCAGGGAAGACCTGACTGAAGGAAATGTGTGCTTCTTGTGCTGCTGTTGGATAAACAGGAACATTTACAGCAAGAGAGCTTCAAAAATTGTGACCACGGCTCTGTCTCAGCCCTCTCTATCTGCTGACAAAGGCATCTCTGTTTGGAACATCTGCAGTTACAAAAGCACAGGATTGTTGCAGATCTGTGCCCTTCTGCTGGGAAAAAGTAATGTTGGCACAGGTGGAGGCACATGCCTTTTTTTAAACACCGTAGAAGAAGAAGGATAATCATAGCCTAAACTTGGAGGAGGAGAGAAAGCACCCACAAGGTGCAACCTTCAATGATAAACATTCAGTTTCTCTGGAAAAAAGGCAGGTGAATGGTATTCTTACCTTAAAAGACATCAGCTCTCTCCTACTTTAGACACTTTGATTTCAAAAGAAGTTGTTTTGAGTCCAGGCTGTGTCTCGATTTGGAGGATGATGCTCTGGGAAGCAGGTGGATTGCACCTTGCCTCTCTCTCTGGGGCAGATTGTGGAGGGCATTTCTGACCACCTTGAACATCCTTGGACCTTCCTGACTCCAGATAACCTGATAAATCCTGACAACTTGACCTGGAGTAAGAGAGAAGGAAGTTGTGCTGCTTGTAGACTTTTTTCCCTTCTGATGGAAAAAAGGAGAAGGCTACCCTGATTTCTTGGCTTAAGCACCTTGCTGAAATGAAGTCCTTAGTTTGTAAACTATGACATTGGAAGGTGAGCAGGGTCATTCCAGTTTTCTCTTTCTGAGAGATGCCAGAAACCCAGCCCAGTTTGGAAGTATAATAAAAGTGGGCTGAGCCTGAATGTTAGGAGAAAGTCAGTACTTTTGAAAAAATAGCTGACATCTACCTTGAGTCTCCATGAATGCACAGTGGTGAAGCTGTAGGAGAGAGAAAAGCATGCCCAGTTCACATTCTGTGCAGGGTTTGTTTGGTGGGAGTTTTTGGTAGCAGGGGAGGGGGCTTCAGCAGTGGCCCCCTGTTGAGAAGCTTCTCAAAGCTCCCCTGGCTCCAAGTCAGACCTGCCTCTGGCCAAGGCTGAGACTATTAGCAACAGTGACTGTGCCTCTGCAATAACATTTTTAAGGGGAACAGGAGAGCGGGTTGGGACTTGCGAGGAGGAGTTACAGGAAGGACACCTATGTGAGCACTGAGGTCAGTAGGAGGAAGGGAGGGAGGTGTGCTGAAGCAGAGAGCCCTCCTGTATTCCCCTGATAAGACAGCAGGGCTGCCCCCCCCCCCATGGAGGTCACTGGTGGAGCAGAGCTTCGCCTGAGGCCTGTGGAGGACCTCTGAGACTCTGTGGGAAGAAGAAACCCCTGCTGTTGTAGTTTGGTGCTGGGAGGACTGCAACACATGGAGGTGACCAACGCCAGAGCATCTCAATAACAATGCATCCCGTGGGGAGGACTCATGGAGGGACTGGCTGCTGTGAGAGGGATGCCATGTGGAAGAAGGGAAAGAATGCGGAAGAGTGCTTCCCCCTCACCTTGGAGGAAGAAGGGGCGCTGCTCCTGCGCCACTGGGGGAGGAGGTAGTGAACCCAGGAAGGGGTGGGGGGAGGGTTTTTAAGATGTAGTAATGCTTCTCACTGTCCCAGCTGTTAGGTGTTGGTTTTCTTAGTGTTTGAATTAAAGTGATCTTCTTCCCCTAACGAGCCTGTCTTTTGCTAGTGACTGTAAGGGGTGAGACACCCCTCCGTGTCCTTGTCTTGTTTCCTGAGCCTTTTTCTTTATTTTCTCCTTCCCAGCACTGGAGAGGAAGGGGTGATTGAATGGCTGTGTGGTGCTCAGCTGCTCTCTGGGCTCAAACCACGACACATTAATGAAGTACGTGGCCTCATATGTGATCTTCTTCAAGGCTCTTCACAAATTTAACTATATTTAACATTATCAAGGAATTGCGGTTTTGATGACAAAAACATATAGGAATAAGTCACATCAAACTGTGAATTGACATTTTCAAGCATTTTGAAAACTCAAGAGTTTTCCCTGTTGAAGAACAAGAACCATTCCAAGTGAGAGGTGCAAGAGGGAAGAGGTAGCTTTGAGGAAGTTAATGACATCCCTTCACCAAAAGACCATTTCCCTCTTCTGCTGTGTCTCACAGCTGCTTTGTCTCTATTTTAAAATGTTGTTATGCTTCTCATCTATCCTCTGTAGCAGGCAGAAAATGCACCAGTATCTTAGTTTTTAATTCCTTTTTGGGGGAAGCATCAAGTTCTTAATCTAATGTGCAATGCTAATTTCAATGCAGTGGGACTGAAAGTTGCTATGAGACTCATTTGGGCTTCTGCCTGGGCTTTGCAACCCTTCAGCACACAGATGCCACCACAGACCCTCTGACATGTGGCAGGAATCAGTCTGTCTGTCTGCTCTCAGGCAGGTACCTCTCGGTGCAAGCAGGCAGGAGATCATGACAATTTCTGTGCACAGAAGAATAATGAAAACTGCAGTAGGAAGGTTCGGTGTTTGAATTCAATGGGTGTCCCTTTCAGAGCTGTAGGAAGACTCCCTACCCCTTTATGCATGCAGCATGTTTGGCCATTTGACCAGCCATGTGTTTCCATTCAGTCAGGCTAAAATAAATATCACCAAACTTCCCCTCTCAAAATTGCCGTGAATGTTTACAGAGGGATACTTTATTTCAAACTGTGTCCTCTTTTGCAGACAGAACATCATTCCCATTCTTAGGCATTTTCGATTTGTTGCTAAGTATGACTGCAGTGTCCTAGGAAAGGAAATGATACCGAGTGTTTCTCTAGTGTTCTCTTTGACTAAACAGTTTGATTCTAACATTTGTATCAATATAATATATATATATATATATATATATATATATATATATATATATATATCAGTCTATATGTTGCTTACATTTTAGAGAACCTACACAAAATAACTTGGCTGTGCTGAGATGTTCTGTTGCTCAGTGTGATGGTTTTGGCTGGGGTAGAGTTATTTTTCTTCATAGCAGGTAGTGCGGGGCTATGTTTTCGATTTGTGCTGGAAACAGTGTGGATAATTCAGGGATGTCTTCTTTACTGCTGAGCAGTGCTCACACAGAGTCAAGGCCTCACACCACCCTGCCAGCAAGTAGGCTGGGGGTGCGCAAGAGGTTGGGAGGGGACACAAATGGGACAGCTGACCCCTGCTGACCATAGGGATATATTTCACACCTGTGACGTCATGCTCAGCAATATAAAGCTAGACGAAGGGGGGAATGTTCAGTGATGGCATTTGTCCTCCCTAGTAATGTGATGTAGCCCTGCTTTTCTGGAGATGGGTGAGCACCTGCCTGCTGATGGAAAGGGGTGAATGAATTCCATGTTTTTCTTTGCACACATGCAACTTTTGCTTTAGTTATTAAACTGTCTTTATCTCAAGCCACGAGTTTTCTCACTTTTACACTTCTGATTCTTTCTTCCATCCCTCCTGTGCTGGGATGTGGGGCTTAGCTGCTGGCTGGGGTTAAAACATGACAGTCTGTTTTGGTGCCCAACATGGGGCTTGAAGGGTTCGAGATAACAATGGATTTGATTGGAATGTGTTAGATCAAATTTATAGCTGTTATTGCTGTTTAGCGTATGATTGACAGGATTCTGTGCTTGCCATGGGGCTTGCTTGCATTAACGTAAATTAGAGTCTTGTGCTTGTTAGTGGCTGCTTTTCACTTTTGCTGCTTACTGTACTGTTGCACTGCTTATCATTTTATTCTGCTGTGCCTGGGAACATTTTGATGGAAGCAATCACGGTGCACCTGGGCTGGCAGAGAGTCAGGGCATCACTGCTGTTTCTGGGCTGCTGCATTGGACAGGCTAGAATTCAATTGTAAACTTGAGTTGAAGGGACTGTGACCTATGGATGAATACTCATGGGAGCAGGACACCTCAAAGCGTCTGTGGCCATGAATATGTCCACACAAGAGCAGGTACACCTCAAAGCATCAGTGGCCACAGTTATGTCTGTGCCACAGCAGGTATACCTCTGAAGGAAGTAGTTATCATCCCACCAGTGCATACTAAACAATAAGTATCAAAAACAGAGATACAGGGAGGTGAATGCAGTTTTGCCTAGGAACTATTTCTGCACTTAATGCTGGAGGAAGTGATTGTGAAATAATGACTTGCGCAAAATGGTTGCATCAGCTTTTCCAGCGATGGGCAATGACTGACAAAGGGAGAGAGATCTGACACTGAATTTCAGCTGGCGAAGAAGAGAGGGAAAACACAATCTGTGGTCATTTTTGTGTCCCCATTCAGCAGCAGCAGTAGAAGTGGTTGTAATGTGAGTTTGAAGGGCAGTGTTATGTGTGCTGGACAATGCTAGACTCTTCAGAAGCCATAGTTTCCTCAGGGGAGCAGCCACTAAAGAAAAGCTGTGCAAACTGGTATGCTTCATTGGCTGAGTAGTTAGAGGACATTGGGAAACTGTCAACATAAAGTTTTGTTTGAGGAGCACAGCCTGAAACATTTTCTCACTCCAGGACTGTCGTTGCATCAGACCTACCAAAGGGTTTCCAGCTTTTGTTGTACTTGGAGTATGAGGTGACAACTTGGATCCCAGAGTACATGATCAGCACACAAGAAGACTGAAACACAGTATGCAGTGCACAAGGTAAGTATTTACTCTTTGCATATTCAGGATTTGGGTATACTGTTTGTCTGCAGTACCAGAGATGTTTACAGCAGCTCGTGAGCTTTAGTAAGTGACTTATTTTCTGCTGTAGCAAATGGTGAAATGTTCTTTGGCACCTGTGGCAGGAAACACATCCCTTCTGTAAATTAAAATCAGTATTGATCTAATTGCTTCTACTGTTTGTAGGGTGACAGTAACATCCAATTCCCATCTATTACCAGTGTTGATTTACAGAAAAGGGCGATAACCTTGTATCAGCTTGTCTGCCTTTTCAGTAAAGAATGTAAATTGCTTACACAGTGTGTAAAAGGGTGTGCCAGGAGCTGCACAGTTCTGCTTTTTAGAAGCCCTAAGGCTGGTGACACTCCAGGCAGGGGACTCCAAAATCTCTGTCAGGAAAGTTTTGGTGTCAGAAGCCACAACCCACTTGAAGGGCCAAGAGTGTGGACATGCTCTGTTCAGGCTTCTGCCTCATGGGTAGCCACACTAGATGGACAGACTAACACTGTGAAGGTTGTGGGGATTTAGAATCATAGAATTGTTTAGGCTGGAAAAGACCCTTAAGACCATTGAGTCCAACTGTTATCCTAACACTGCCAAGTCCAGCACTAAACCATGTCCCTAAGCACCTCGTCTACACATCTTTTAAATACCTCCAGGGATGGTGACTAAACTAGTTCCCTGGGCAGCCTGTTCCAGTGCTTGACAAACCTTTTGGTGAAGAAATTTTTCCTAATATCCACTCTAAACCTCCCCTGGTGCAACCTGAGGCCATTTCCTCTCATCCTATCACTTGTTACTTGGGAAAACACATCTACCTCTCTACAACCTCCTTCCAGGTAGCTGTAGAGAGTGATAAGGTCTCCCCTGAGCCTCTTTTATCCAAACTAAACAACCCCAGTTCCCTCAGCTTCTCCCCACAGGACTCATTCTCTAGACCCTTCACCAGCTTTGTTGCTCTTCTCTGGATGCGCTTCATCGCCTCAATGTCTTTCTTGTAGCGAGGGCCCCAAAACTGAACACAGTGTTCGAAGAGCAGCCTCACCAGTGCCAAGTACGGGGGGGACAATCACTTCCATAGTCCTGCTGGCCACACTGCTTCTGATACAAGCCACAGTTTTCTTGGCTTTCTTGGCCACCTGGGCACACTGCTGGCTCCTGTTCAGCTGGCTGTTGACCAACACCCTCCAGGTCCTTTTCCACTGAGCAGATCTCCAGCCACTCTTCCCCAGTCCTGTAGCACTGCATGGGGTTGTTATGATCCATGTTCAGGACCTGGCACTTAACCTTGTTGAGTCTCATATAATTGGCCTTGTCCCATTGATCCAGCCTGTCCAGATCACTCTGTAGAATCTTTCTACCCTCAAGCAGATCAACATTCCCACCCAACTTGGTGTAATCTGCAAATTTACTGAGGGTGCACTCAATTCCCTCATCCAGATCACTGAAGACCTAATCATCTTTCCCTGTTTACGGTTGAAACATCCAGATGTAGCTTCATTGCTGAGAGGGAGCATAATGTCAGAGATGTAAGAAGCAAGAGCCATAGCAAACGTGTATGAAAAGACAGGCCTTTGAGAACGATCCTTTATCACTGCTGAGACATGGCAAGGCTGTACTTCAGAAATGAGTAGCATGCCATATTTGCAGGGCTGAGCAGCTGAAGTAGGAGAGGAAGACTGATGTCATAGGATAACTCTTACAAGAAAAAAAATGAATCTGAATTTCCTAATAAAATTGCACAGGTTTTCAGTTGTTTTCAGTTGCTGTTCAAAACTACAAGTTGACACTACCTTCTCTCCTTTCTGTTTCCTACAGCAAAACGTTCAACCAAACAAAACAAAAATCAAGAACTACGCACACCTGGCAAATGTGGGCCATCTACATGGTCTTAGCTCCAAGCCTCTCTGAAGAACAAGTGCTGAAGCAGGCTTGTCCTTCATGTGATGCCACTCAGCTTTGCAACTGCTCTTTCATGGGCTTGGATTTCATTCCGCCAGGGCTCACGGGCAAAATCACAACATTAAACCTGGCCCATAACAGGATACAGCACATCCGATCCCAAGACCTGCAGCAGGCTGTGAACCTGAGAGCCTTGCTGCTGCAGTCCAACAAAATCAGCTCAATAGACAAGGATTCATTTTGGTCCCTTGGGAAACTGGAGCTCTTGGACTTATCAAATAACAGCTTGGCTCACCTGTCCCCTGAGTGGTTTGAGCACCTCTTTTCACTTCAGCACCTCCACCTTCAGGAGAACTCCTACAGAGACCTGGGCGAAAGCTCCCCCTTTTCAAGCCTGAGGAACCTCAGCTCTCTCCACCTGGGCAACCCGTGGTTCTCCACGATAAGGCAAGGGAACTTTGAGGGCATTGAGCTTCTCGACAAGTTGTGGATTGATGGTGGCGGACTCAGGCAGTACAGGCCAGGAAGTTTGAAATCAATTAAGAAGATAAACCACATGATCATAAACCTAAAAAATACTAGTTTATTCTCAGCAATTGTCAGGGACCTTCTGTACTCTGTCATTTGGTTAGAAGTGAGAGAAATCAAATTAGAGATTGAAAAAAAAAGCTTGGTGCAGAACTCTACACTTCCTTTTATGATACAAAAACTTACATTTAAACGTGCTTCATTCACAGATCAATATATTAGCCTCCTAATAATATTACTGAAGGAAATCACAACTTTGCAAGAGTTAGAGGCAATCGATTGTGTTCTTGAGGGGAAAGGAAAATGGGATGTTGAAGCAATTGCAAGCAGTGGGCAAAGTTTTGTTGAAACAGTATCAATAATAAATGTAACGATTCAGAATTTTTATTTGTTTTTTGATCTGGATGGTATGGAGTCACAAATAAACAAACTGAAAAGATTCACCATTGCAAGCTCTAGAGTTTTCATGATACCATGCAAACTTGCAAAAAATTTTTCATTACTTCTGTATCTGGACCTTCATGATAATTTGCTTGTAAATAATCGCTTAAATGAGACAATCTGTGAAGATGCTTGGCCTTCATTGCAAACTTTAAATCTAAGTCAGAACTCTCTAAAATCTCTGAAACAGACTGCATATATTGTAACTCGCCTGCACAAACTGATTCATCTTGACATTAGCCAAAATAATTTTGGTGATATTCCAGATGTGTGTGAATGGCCAAAAACCCTGAAATATCTAAACCTCTCCAGCACTCAAATTCCTAAGCTAACAACGTGCATTCCTCCAACGCTGGAAGTTTTGGATGTTAGTGCTAACAACCTGAAGGAGTTTGGACTGCAACTCCCGTTTCTCAAAGAGCTGTACCTCACAAAAAACCATTTGAAGACCCTGCCTGGTGCCGCACCCATTCCTAACTTAGTGGCCATGTCAGTCAGAAGAAACAAGCTCAACGGTTTCTCCAGGGAAGAGTTTGAGTCCTTCAGGAAAATGGAGCTGCTGGATGCCAGTGACAACAACTTCATCTGCTCCTGTGAATTCCTCTCCTTCATCCACCACCAGGCTGGGATAGCCCAGGTGCTGGTGGGGTGGCCAGACAAGTACATCTGTGACTCTCCCCTGGCAGTGCGAGGGGTGCAGGTTGGAGCTGTGCACTTGTCCCTGATGGAGTGCCACAGGTCCCTCATGGTGTCCTTGCTCTGCACCCTGGTGGTCCTGGTCATGCTCATCCTCGTGGCCATCGGCTACAAGTACCACGCGGTCTGGTACCTGAGAATGACCTGGGCGTGGCTCCAAGCCAAGCGGAAGCCCAAGCGAGCCCCCCTGAAGGACATCTGCTACGATGCTTTTGTCTCCTACAGCGAGCATGACTCTGACTGGGTGGAAAACATAATGGTGCGGGAGCTGGAGCAGGCCTGCCCCCCGTTTCGACTCTGCCTCCATAAGCGGGACTTTGTGCCCGGGAAGTGGATTGTGGACAACATCATTGACTCCATAGAGAAGAGCCACAAAACGCTCTTTGTGCTGTCTGAGCACTTTGTGCAGAGCGAGTGGTGCAAATATGAGCTGGACTTCTCACACTTCCGTCTCTTTGACGAGAACAACGATGCAGCAATTCTCGTCCTCCTGGAGCCCATCCAGAGCAAAGCGATTCCCAAGAGGTTCTGCAAGCTGCGGAAGATCATGAACACAAAGACCTACCTGGAGTGGCCTCTTGAAGGAGAGCAGCAGGCGATGTTTTGGGAAAACTTGAAGGGAGCCTTGAAGTCATAGAAGAAATTGGCAGTCCCCATTTCAGTATATTTCCACAAAGGATATATGTTGGTGTTTCTTCCTGCTATAAAATTTTTCTTTATTAATTTTCTGCCTAAGGAGAACTTGCTTTGTTTTGTATAGAAATAATTATCATCTTACTAAATGAGGAAGACCCACTTTAGGCTTTCCAGTGATCTAATAGTCTGATCTTTCAAAATCCCTGCCAATAACTGTGGTATTTGGAAGCCTTGTTGGACTTTATACACTTTTCTAAATACATCTAGCTGAATGTGGGTATTTCTGTCCTTTTTCTTCTGTTACCACATCCCCAACTAGTTCCTAACAATGTCATTGTAATTTACAAATGAAAATAATAACCAAGTGCTTTAATACTCTCCCATATCTGTTGTTCTCCTTTAGGTTTTTGGGGTTTTTTTCAGTGCTCTCATGGACAGCAGGGTAATTAACATTAAATTCTGAAAAAAACCCTGAGGACTACTTAAGCCGTACCATTGCTGTGCAACACAAAAAAAAAGTCAGTACTGAATACGTACCTCCATTCACAAGTCTGTTGTTCTGGCTAGTTACACTAGAGTCCATACCACCATGCACAGATTGGAGTTTACTCAACACCTGTGAAGGAAGTATCCCAGCACTTTGTACAATGACTGTGGCAAAATCCAGAGGCATTAAATTACTGTTGTGTTTTGTTGCAGGTTTTTTTGTTTTGTTTTGTTTTCTTTTCTTCTTAGTCTTCCTTCTTCCTGTGAATGCTTGTTTCTCTCTGCATTGTCAACACCACATTTCCTTCTACCTACCCACAGAAATAGCTGAACCCTTCCATTTGTGGGACATGAGGATATTTTTCTAATGAGTGGGCTAGATGGTGTTGCAGACTGGCTCACTTGTTGTTTCTGCTTTGCCACTTTGCACAGCACATTTAAGTAATCACTGGGCCATGCACCCCTTATAACTCTACATACCTTCCTTTGTAACTGGTGCAGAAAATCACACTGATAAGAGGCAACAAATCTTTCTGCTTCAGTATGAGGTATCTCCTAGAACTAATGTATTGCTCTTCACCAATTATAAAGGGAATTTAGACAAGCAGGTAGATGCAGATGTTTATATTAAGATAGCTGGTCCCACCCTGAGTGCCTGGAGTCACAGCCGTGCTTACTTGTGCTTTATCTATTTTTGTGGAAACCTGATACTGTCTCTGAGGGGATAAAGTTAGGTGTGGGTTTCTCTAACTCGGCACTTCCATGCTGCACTTTGCTTGTGTTGCTGGAGAGTCTAAATGAAGATTGATTAAAATTTATACATGTAATTATTTTGTGGTGAAATACCAAAGCATTCACATATGGACTGAGTATTTGAAAAATTGGCAGAAGTTTATACACGTGTCTGTGTTCGTATATATGTACAGATTCATATATGTACATCTGTGTACATGCCTATGCATCTATATTTCTTCACACTCCTATGTGTGTATGTGTATACGTATATACACACATAGGATGATAGTTTCTGTGGGTGTAGCCTGAAAACACCACTTTCAGTTCTACTTTCCTGTTATAATGCTATCTCTAGGGTTAGTCCAAAGTCTGCTACAAAAGGATTTTTCTGTTTGCTCTCCTGGAGAAGAAAACCTCACAGGCTAATCAACACTGAACTCCAGGTAAGCGATGAGTGAATCATCTGATAACAAACACTAAGCACTGATATATCAGATTAGGAGACTGCATGCCTAGAGGTAAGGAGGGAAATATGTCTTGCCAGTCATTTCAAAGAAAGAGTCAGAAAAAGAGGTAGTAGAAGTCTTGACTTTCACACAGTACACTCTTACATAGACCCAGGCTTCTATGGGTTGGCACATTTAAAAGGACTGATAGTGTTACTGCTCTTAGACCAATCTGATCCCCTAGGTGGGAATTCCCCTACTTACACAGCCAAGTCAGAGAAGTGAAGCGGGAAGGAAACATCAGTGTGAGAGGAAGCTGGGTAAACAGCGATCAGCAAGAGACAGATGAAACTCGACATAGATTAACTGGTGTGTAGGCACCGGTCTGGAGTTGGTGTCCCCTGGAATCTCTTCTACTCAGAGGTGAGTTTGCAGGTGGGTGGAGGCTGGAGATGCAAGGAGAGTGGAGCTGCAATGCCAGAGCAGGAAGCAAGGAGGAAGCACTGGGAAGAGGCTGATCTCTGCCACCAAGTCCTCCTCCTCTGCATGGGGCATTCAGGGTGCTTGGGGCTGCTCTTGCAGCAGTGCAGAGCGGGGAGGGATTTCTGGCTGCCAGCAGAAGTGGAGCAGGCCGGTACAATTGCAGGCAACTGGCAGAGCTGCATGGAAGGCAGGCAGCAAAAGGAACGATCCTTGCGAGAGCTGGGACATGCGGATGAGAGCCGTGTCCTTCAGGAAAGGGAAGAGAGGAAAGCAGCAAATGAAAAAGAGACAGGTTGGGTCAGACACTGCAAATTCTGCTCAGTTTCTTCATGGGAGAGTGCCTCGTATGTGCTTTGTCCTGTTTGTATGTTGTCCCACTTGTGTGTCAATACCAGCTGCCCAGGGAAGGCTGGGTGTGAAGGTGGGCTGTGTTTGTTTAGGAATTCGACTAAGAAAGAGCTCATTCAGCAATGGTCTTGGGGCCGTGGGATCAGTTACCTCCTCACCTAACTGCCCTGTTGCACATCCTCTATGTTGGAAACAAGAGGGGGCATGCTGAGGTATGTGTGCTCATGTGTGTATAAACATACATGCTGTTGAGGCAATGCTGGTGGGAGATAGCCAGGATGTGTGTAACCCACATACAGCCAAAAGGAAAGTAGCAGCTTTGCCAAGTCTGCTTGTGGAACAATCCCTTCACCAACCAGTGACCCTCCTGCTGCTGACTCCATAGTACTGCTCAAACTTACCAGCCCTCACCTAGTTTGATGGCATCCCCCAAGCTAGAATCAATTTGCATGCTATTGGCATGCTCTATTTCAGCAGTTAACATCAGCCTCTAGCATTTGTTAGCATTTATAGAACTTCACTCTGCTGGCACTCATGTTTTTGTTTGAGAATATGAACATATGCATGTCTGATGGCTTGGACTGTTTGCCCATAACCCAGAAACATGTCTAGTTCATCACAGTGCCTTGTGGTATTAAGGGCACCTGTGCAAGTTTCCATGTTATTAGCTTCATTTCAATTTCTATGTGGCTTTTTGTCTTCCCAGCGCAACAGGGAAAAGTAATTCCTTGGTGGGGCAATGATATTGTGGAGTGGGACTTATTTCTGAATGAGTGCAGAGAGGCCTGAAATGACCCTCTAAGTCAGGGTCTTAAGCTGAATTATTAGACAGGAATAGGGATGGGAAGTGAATGGCTGTATGTGCATGAGGTTGGTAACTGGATTTTTCTGACAGTCCATTCACGTTACAGATGAGCAAAAGCACCTGGAAAAGATGCTCAGGGAAATGACAACAAAGAAAAGTATCCTGTAGCACCAAATGGAATTCAGTCCTGCAGTCCTGGTTTCAAGCTAGCAAGGTGAAGAGCCGTTAGGCTCAGCCAGTACTTCCAGCATAAACGTCAGTACCTGCCAGTTGTATTCTATGCTGCCAATTTTCCATCTGTAAATAACCTACCGATAGATAGATTTTGATTGGCCAGGTTGTCTGGTTGTTTCTTTCTGTAACAGTTGTGATAGCAACTTTAAAAATCTCACTATAAATTTGTTGCTTGTGAAACTCATCTTACTCATAGCTTTGCTCCTATGGCCTACAGCACTGCGTTACCCAACCAGACTTGCAAGACCAAAAGAGCCCCATAAAAGAGCCTCAGCTGGACAGTAGGTGGGTGTGACTACAGATTGCAATTATTTGGAACAGACTCACATACATAAATATCTAGGTATCTAAACCATGGTCCTTCATTTTAAGTTGATGGGGTCATTTCTCTTGGAGTAATCACATCTTAATGTGAGTGACTAAGAGACACGATGTGAATTGCTCCTAAAAGTTGTTTCTCTCCATTGATGTTGGAGGACATGGTGGGTGATCAGCTCAGCTGTGGGCATCTAAAGACAGGGAGAGGAATGTTTTCTTCAAGACCAAAGCTCTACATCAGAGAGACAGAAATTAAAGGAAAATAATACAAGAGGTAAAAATGTTTATAGTCCTTCAGATGGGAAGAGATGGAATGATTGAAAAAACTATTCACAACTTTTCCTCCTCATATGCACAAACAATCTTAGCTAATTCTGGGCTATTTGAATAACTAATAGCAACTCTGGCTAAAAATAATGCAACTAGAAGAGTAGGACTTTTCTGTATGAACTCGTCTGCGTAGGTCAGCTATTGTAAAACAAAATAGAGTATGAATTCAAAGTACAGTAGATCTGCACAGAGTCTCAGTGAGATGACTGAAGGAGAAAGTACTCCTCAGTGAGACAGTCTAACCTGATTAACTTGATACAGAACCCATGATGGTCTTTGGGAACCTGTTCATTAGTATCTTTGGGGTCGGTTCACTCCTTTCACCCTCAGTAAGATACCTACTGAGGTAGGGGGATTTGTGACACACTGGGGAAAGTTATACTTTAAAAGTGCTCTTTGATCCTTATCAATGAAGCATAAACAAAAAAGGGTTATAATTCAATATATGCAATTCAATCTAACTCCTCAGAGGCACAGAAATACTAAAGTCACCTTGTTGGGAGTAAGGATGGGCTGGCTATTGCAGCAAGCTCTGTAATGTAAAAAGCCATGTCAAAACAGAACTATGAAAGGCACATCTGTGAGAGGAAACAGAAGTGACACAGGATCCACAGCTATGTGGCTTCTCTCGTATCATTTCAGTCCAGATGATGAGGAACAGAAAAAGCCTAGTCTGATCTGATCTAGTCTGACCCAATCTGCAGGAGGCTCCAAAAGCCCCTGGCTCTTCCTCGTGGCTGGGCCTTACCTTCTCTCTGCCATAAAGACCCAAAGCAGAAAAGGCCACTGACAGAGGAGGAGGATGTGGCAGTAAAAAGGAATAGCTAAAAGTCAGTAGTTTACAATGGTCAGTTTTCCCATCTTAAGTTCTTTAGCAAGTATCAGACTGATGGCAACATGGTAACAATGGCCTACGCATCCAGGCAAATATTTATTTCTATGCTCCTAGCATATTTACAATCAAAATAGCTGAAGGCAGATAAAATGAAGAACAGGACAGAAACATATGCAGCTTCCTTCTCCCTATTGTCAGAATTGAGATTAGACATACACTTGAAATGAGTATTAAATGTGAACATCACTGTCTCCCACAAGATGCCAACTCTTCTTGATGTAACCATGATTTGAAACATACAGGAGACTCCCTGTAGTGAAAAATTAATATGCAAAATAATATTCACAGATCCAGAAGAAAAGGACTTAAGGTGGGGCTGAGGGAGGATATATAGGACTATTTCCTAAACAGGCAAAGGATCAGGTTAGTAATAATGTGATTATTCAGATGTTTAGCTGAATCTACAAAACATTTGTGCAGCTGTTAATTGATTTGATAGTCCTCATTCCAAAATTATAAAACACAGGGAACAAAAGAGTAAATTCAATGTGCGTAGCATTTAACAAATGATTCTGGAATATTCGTGTACAATATTTATTTTTTTGGTTAATCCTTTTCATCGCTGAACAACATTAAAGACAAATATATTTATAGTGCAACAGGGAAGAAGAGTAAAAGTTATGTTTTATATAAATAACTTCTTCAAAACTAACCATTTTATACTTGTTCTGGCTGTATTTCATATTTTAGGCAAAATAATGGCCACACACACCTGGCAAGTGTGGGCCATCTACATGGTCTTAGCTCCAAGCCTCTCTGAAGAACAAGTGCTGAAGCAGGCTTGTCCTTCATGTGATGCCACTCAGCTTTGCAACTGCTCTTTCATGGGCTTGGATTTCATTCCGCCAGGGCTCACGGGCAAAATCACAACATTAAACCTGGCCCATAACAGGATACAGCACATCCGATCCCAAGACCTGCAGCAGGCTGTGAACCTGAGAGCCTTGCTGCTGCAGTCCAACAAAATCAGCTCAATAGACAAGGATTCATTTTGGTCCCTTGGGAAACTGGAGCTCTTGGACTTATCAAATAACAGCTTGGCTCACCTGTCCCCTGAGTGGTTTGAGCACCTCTTTTCACTTCAGCACCTCCACCTTCAGGAGAACTCCTACAGAGACCTGGGCGAAAGCTCCCCCTTTTCAAGCCTGAGGAACCTCAGCTCTCTCCACCTGGGCAACCCGTGGTTCTCCACGATAAGGCAAGGGAACTTTGAGGGCATTGAGCTTCTCGACAAGTTGTGGATTGATGGTGGCGGACTCAGGCAGTACAAGCCAGGAAGTTTGAAATCAATTAAGAAGATAAACCACATGATCATAAACCTAAAAAATACTAGTTTATTCTCAGCAATTGTCAGGGACCTTCTGTACTCTGTCATTTGGTTAGAAGTGAGAAAACTAGCATTCAGTATACTCTCTGAAATACAACTACTGAGAGTCATGTCTTCTTCATTTGCTAAGAAAATTTCTTTTAAACAGACCTTATTCACAGATGCTACTGTGCCTGAGATTATCAGCATTTTAGAAGACATGCCAAAATTAGTGGAGGTGGAGATGATAGACTGCAGACTCTCGGGAACTGGACAATGGCAAATGCGAATTCAAGCAAACCAATCACAGACTCTTAGAGTTCTGACAATAGAGAAATTATTTATAGAAAAATTTTATTTGTTTACAGATCTTCATGCTGTGCATGGCCTACTATCACTTCTTACCAAAGTCACAGTTGAAAACACCAAGGTCTTTTTAGTACCATGCAGTGTTTCACAATATCTTCTGTCATTAGAGTATCTTGATCTTAGTGCAAATTTGCTTGGAGACCAGAGTTTGGAGCACTCAGCCTGTCCGGGTGCTTGGCCCTCACTACAAACTCTAAATTTAAGTCAGAATTCACTGAGTGACTTAGAAATGACAGGTAAAAGTTTGTCTCATCTACGAAATCTAATTCTCTTAGACATTAGCCAAAATAATTTTGGTGATATTCCAGATGTGTGTGAATGGCCAAAACCCCTGAAATATCTAAACCTCTCCAGCACTCAAATTCCTAAGCTAACAACGTGCATTCCTCCAACGCTGGAAGTTTTGGATGTTAGTGCTAACAACCTGAAGGAGTTTGGACTGCAACTCCCGTTTCTCAAAGAGCTGTACCTCGCAAAAAACCATTTGAAGACCCTGCCTGGTGCCGCACCCATTCCTAACTTAGTGGCCATGTCAGTCAGAAGAAACAAGCTCAACGGTTTCTCCAGAGAAGAGTTTGAGTCCTTCAGGAAAATGGAGCTGCTGGATGCCAGTGACAACAACTTCATCTGCTCCTGTGAATTCCTCTCCTTCATCCACCACCAGGCTGGGATAGCCCAGGTGCTGGTGGGGTGGCCAGACAAGTACATCTGTGACTCTCCCCTGGCAGTGCGAGGGGTGCAGGTTGGAGCTGTGCACTTGTCCCTGATGGAGTGCCACAGGTCCCTCATGGTGTCCTTGCTCTGCACCCTGGTGGTCCTGGTCATGCTCATCCTCGTGGCCATCGGCTACAAGTACCACGCGGTCTGGTACCTGAGAATGACCTGGGCGTGGCTCCAAGCCAAGTGGAAGCCCAAGCGAGTCCCCCTGAAGGACATCTGCTACGATGCTTTTGTCTCCTACAGCGAGCATGACTCTGACTGGGTGGAAAACATAATGGTGCGGGAGCTGGAGCAGGCCTGCCCCCCGTTTCGGCTCTGCCTCCATAAGCGGGACTTTGTGCCCGGGAAGTGGATTGTGGACAACATCATTGACTCCATAGAGAAGAGCCACAAAACGCTCTTTGTGCTGTCTGAGCACTTTGTGCAGAGCGAGTGGTGCAAATATGAGCTGGACTTCTCACACTTCCGTCTCTTTGACGAGAACAACGATGCAGCAATTCTCGTCCTCCTGGAGCCCATCCAGAGCAAAGCGATTCCCAAGAGGTTCTGCAAGCTGCGGAAGATCATGAACACAAAGACCTACCTGGAGTGGCCTCTTGAAGAAGAGCAGCAGGAGATGTTTTGGTTCAATTTGAAAATAGCTCTAAAATCCTAGACAGGGACATTAAATAATAATAGCAAATATACTCTGGATTTGTTTCCCTTATTTGTTCATCCCGTCACCTATCTGTACCTCAAGAATAGAGAGCTTAACTACTGTAAATTTTATTAGTTGTTGTGAGATTATTTTCTTTTTGTGTCCATGTTTGAGAGTTTTTGTACTGGTTTGGGCTGAAATAATTTTCTTCATAGTTGCTCCTATGGTGCTATGGTTTGGATTTGTGACCAAAACAGAGTTGGTAACACAAGGTTGTTTTAGTTATTACTAAACAGTGCTTGCACAGCATCAAGTCCTTTTCTGTTTCTCATGCTGTTCTGTCAGTGAGTAGGCTGGGGGTGCATGATAATTTGGGAGAGGCCACAGTCTGGGGCAGCTTATCCAGCTGATTTAAGGGATTTCCCATACCATATAATGCCATTCTCGGCAATAAAAGTTGTAGGAAAGAAAGAGGAAAGGAAGATGTTTGGTGTTGAGATGTTTGTCTTCCCAAGAAACTGTTATGCGTGATGGAGCTTTTTCTGGAGAAGGCTAAGCATCCACTTACTGATTGGAAGTAGTGAAGGAATTCTTTATTTTCCTTTGCTTGTGTGCAGCTTTTGCTTTACCTATTGAACCGTCTTTATCGCAACCCACGAATTTTCTCCATCTTACCCTTCCAATTCTCTTCCCCGTGGAACAGTGGGGGGAGTGAGAGTGCGGCTGTGCGATGCTGAGCTGCCTTCTGGGGTTAAACCACAACAATTGTCTACATACATTAATCAGAAGTGTTAGCAAAAGCTGTTTCATGTAAATATATAATGATGAAAAGTTGTCTAGATACACAGCTACTTAGTTTATATATCTTTATTTTTGTAAAAGCTTTAGGAGAGAGTCTGCCTAGCCAAGGGTTCTTCTGCATTCTTTGTATACATATTTGGTACATTAGAAGCATCATCTCACAGCTAGTTACTTACCGTGTTACTGCTTTTAGGAAGTTCTTCTCCACACAGCCAATGTGTCGTGAGAGCAGAAGTCCCCCTGTCCTTTGCTAGACATTGAGAAGGCATAAGACAAACATTCTTCCATTACACTCACAATTAGGCAACTCTGACAGTGTAACGCAAATGAACGATTTATTAACATGAGTTTTTGCATATATGAATACAGGCATAACTCATTATAAGAATTATTAACGTTGTTACTTCATCTAAGCAAACAAAGCCACTTTCTTCCTATGCACTTAAGATTTGCTCTTTCATTTACTTAATGATTATTTTAATCGTGTCATTTCCTATTTTTAACATCTAAACCTTACCTTCATTGGTATATGGCTTCACACAATGTCTGCTTTATTCTCATATATATATTAAAGTGTAAATTAAGATAATCTGTATTTATGATTTCCAAGAACAAAGATTCTTAAAATACTGACCATATTTAATCTGACTTTAAAAGCTACTTCAGCTAGGCTAATTACATTTTAAGACCAGCTTCTCTGATTCCTAAACAGAACTGCCCGTTCTTGCATAAACACCATGTTTTAATTCCTCACAATGTGGACAGGGTAGTATAGATGTCAAACATTTGGCCACTAAGCAGCAAGACTTATGCATCCATTTTCATTAAAAAAAAAGAAAAGAAAAAAAAAAAAGAAAAAGAAAGCAATAGCAAAATACGGAATTGGTGGTTAGAGATTGTAACTTCATTCTGTGTCTGAGAAGCTGGTTATTGGAAGCTGGGCCTTTTGAGCATGGTGACAGTAAGTCAAAGAGGACTTCATATAGGACCTCCATATATAGGCCTATCTGAATACCAAGCACATATTAAACACTGCCGTGGTTAGAGCTTTTTGTAAACGGCTATTGGAAGATGTATGAGTTACCATACAACAGCTCTTGAAAGAGGTGGGGGGAAAAAAGCTAATGGTAATCTTGTATTACTTTACATTGACCAAATGAGCAAACGATCTGGGTGACATTTTTCAGAATTTGCTATATACAAAGCCATTATTTGACAAAATTCTCCTTATCTACTGCACAATTTTCTGTAGTCAGAATTTCAACTAGCAAGAAGCCACTACCATATATTTCATAAGCAAACTTAAAATATTTTCTTTTTTTTTTTTTAATGGGATATTCATTCTAAGAAATAAGTCCTTTTTTTTTTTTTTCCCCTAGTGCAATCTTCTTATTAAAGGAAGCAATTTCTTTTAATTCTGACTTTGAGAAAATAAAAACATGCTTTAATAGCATGCTGTACAATCTTGCTGTAATGTAAAAAGAAGTACTGTCCTGAAAAAGGGTGTATAGCACACCAGAGTTTAACTGCTATTTCTCTAGTCTATTAAAATTAAGTACAGAAAATGCATATTATTTAGGCAGGTAAATATCCAACACTTAGCATTCTCACTAATAATCCAAGTTCTATTCTAGACCCAGTGATTAACTAATGCCTTGAACAATGCCTGTAACAACTGGATGCCAGACCACCAGCTAGCAAAGCCAGTTCAAAAGTTGTCCATACAATACGTGTGCGTTCTCACCTAATCTGTTGTTGAAGAAACTGAAGAGAAAATGCAACAATAGGTAAATCTTGGTGTTTTTCTTAGCTAGAATCAAAGAAAATATATTGGGTTAAAATCTTGAAATGCTTTCTTTTCAACTCTTCTGATTAATTTCCTTTTTTTATAAGGGTAAGGTAAAAATTAAATATCCTCCCCACATATAGGTTAAAATGGGCTTCAAAGAAGGAAGCCAAATATTGCTTCCACTCAAGAAGGTTTCTACAGGTGCAGCAGCAGATCTACAACTATTATTACATTTGTTAAAGGAAAAATGTTGCTTACTAACTACTAAGAGAAGAGGGGGGAAAAACCAGCACTTGTTCTGAAAGTGGATTGTATCAATTTTCTTATTTCATTAAAGGGCAAAATATACTGCATGGTCTTTCTAAAACTGTGATTTACATTCTTTAATATGGTCCTCTCATTATAAAAATTATTTCCAAATGTCCTAAAATCAAGAAGGAAAATATATATGCACTTTCTTTTCCTAGCTTTTTTGGGGTCTTAGATAAGATAAAGTAAAATAGAACTATCCTCTTCCCTAAATATAATTGTTCCTTAGTAATTATTAGTTTTCCATTTATTTAATGTGGCCACCTCATCCCTCCACTGCAGATTGAAACACAAATTTGTAAGTAATCAGGCTATGGTTTAGAAAATCAAAAGCACACTTATCAGAGAGAGGGTATGGGTTACTTAACTTCCTCTTCAAATCAACTTTCTCAGGGCAGTATGGGAAATTCTGGTTCTTGCCAACAGTGCACCAACCACAGATGCAGGATTCATAAAACCTGCTATCAGGTGTATTGCTAAGGAATCTTTCAAATATAAACAAGGCCCTGTGCTGACATCCACAAACCTAGTCAAACCATCAAGAGATAATTTTAATGACTGATTATGGATACTGCCTTGTTTTATAACTGAGCAGTTTCAAATTATTTAAAATATTTAGAATATTTTGAACTATTTTAAAGTTGAATCCAATGTACTGAACATCCAGACTGGTATTCATATTTTCCATCTTGCAAGAAGCCAGGATATTTTTAAGAACTGCAGAAGGGGGTGGTTAGTAACATTGTTCCAGCACATATGTGATACCTATCATTTTAGTTTCTGGAATGCAAAACACCGAGTCGTTTGGTAGGCCCGAGTCTGAGGCACTGGGTCTTCTGTCAGGCTGTAAGGTATGCCATCTTTTGAGAAGGGTTTTACATCTGCCTTAAAGCTACCCAGCAAAGATAGCCCCAGGCACAGCCAGAGGAAATCCTCTGCAGTACATGGGAGCCTGAGTTAGCAGCACTGGCCAGTGGGTCAGCAAGCCTGGTCTAACATATTGCCAGCCACACCCACACAGGCACAAAGTGCCTGAAAGGCGGATTTAGGCCTGAAACTGTAGGGTTATGGCCACTCTTGCATCAGTTTGTCTGTCAAAAAGCTGTGTGTTCTCAATCTGTGTCACAGAACTGAAATATATTTTATGCTCCTGTTTTTACTTTTGTGCTACGTTGTTTCTGAATGTGGTTTTGGTTCCTCTTTCTTGGTATGTATTGCCATTGTTATTATTTTTTAATACAGCATAAAAGAGGAGAAAATAACAGTTTCATAATTCCATGGAAAGGATACACATGATTACAGAACAGCTGGTAGGTATTTTGAACGATCTCTTCTTCATTTATATCCACAAAAATTTTCTGCCTGCAAACTGTGCAGATGTCATTGGACAAATTTGTTGTTGGTATGCCACTGATGTTGTAAAACTGTTAAGATCAAGTTCATAGGAAAAAAAGAAGCCAAAGAACAACAATATATTTGCTTAGAGTTAAGGATGTGTAAACACATTTTAAGTGCCATCAAAGATAAGGATAGCATGAAAATGGCTGAAGTTGTCTTAGTTCACTAGTGCCAGGAGGCACAGTTACCAAGAAATAATGAAAATCTTATTGATGATGCAAGAACTTTAGCAACTGTCTGCTTGATTTTAAGTAACTGGAATATAAGGGAATTGTGCTGAGATAATCACCTTATTTGGCAATGGAAGATACGATGAAGAAGAGTCTTTCACAGACTTTGGGGAAGTAAGAAGCTTGTCTTCTTATGGCAGTTAGGAAAATTATGTAGTCTCTTGTACACAGGGACCCACCTGTTGGAAACCCCAGGTCAGACCCTGGCACATGTCACTGGCTACTAATTCATTAAGACTATTTTTGTAATCATAAGATCGGCAATGGAGTTCAACAGTTTGTCCATGGCACAAGAACAGCTCTCCTCAAAGAAAAGTGAGGTTAGTTTAGTGCAAGAGTATCCAGTAGATCTTATTCTCTTGAACCCAGGAGCACAAGAGTTTCAAGAGTTTCCAGTCCTTGAAAGTGGTATGTGGGATGATGATCCCTGGCACTTACACCAGTGGTGGAAACCATGTGGTCAGAACGTCAGAACACATCTCTGCAAAGTCTCTTCCCATCACTCCATAGTACAGTCTGTAAAAAAGCAGTCATAGCAAAATCCATGGAGTCATCAGGCTTGATTCTGTCATAAAACCACAAAAGAGTATTTGGGTGAGTCTGTTCTTCACCAAAACACCAGAATAAAATATCAACAAGATTTTTACTCCAGTTAGCTCCTGCCTTCAAACTGCAGGTTTAGTTTCATTTTCTGTTGCAGCAGCAGACACCCTCATACTTGAAGTATCAATGTTCTTGATGGCAAGCAATGTCGAAACTAGGCTATGAACTGCTTTTGGAGCCACAGCTACTTGGCTCTGTTATAGAAAGGCCAAGCTGACACATTTTCTTACAGGGGGTGACTTTGCCTAGAGTTGTCTTATACACCACAATTAGATATATTTCATTGTTTTGCAGAAGCAACAAGATCAGACAAATTTCAATCAGGTATAAGATGCCAGTCAAAGAACTGTTAAGTTTCTGTAGCTGAAAGAGCCCACTGTCCTGAATACAAATTCCTCAGAATAAAATATTTGCAAAATTACATCAAGTGGTATTTAGCCCTCTACTCCCCAGAAAACCCAGCTCAATAGAGTCTGCAAAAATGTTAACATCTCTTGTCATCTCTCTGAGATTGATTGTATGTGTTGCAGGTCTTGGCAGGCTGAAACCTGGCTACCAAATATTCATAAAACTGGAGCTTCTTAACATTAAAAAGGACTTGTTATTGCTGCAACAGGGCACAAAGTAAGAACATTTAAAATAGGCCTAACAAATTTTGTAGTTATATCTTTGAAATAAACTGGTGGTGGAATTTAGCTGGTTAAATAAAATACCTCAACTGAATAAAGCTTAATAGTCTTGGTAACACAAGACTCTTAAGTTTCTGCCAAGAATTTTCCATCAGAGCTATGTACTTCTGGGTTAATCAACTGTACAATGTATGGGCAATAAATCTGATACTTAAAGGAACAGCTGATTTACTTATGTGCAGTATCTCCAATACCTCCAAGAAGTGTTGGACTTAAAGCAGAATCATTATGCCATTGGTCTACATCCTTTTGAGGAATCTCTGGAATTTCTGGTCAGACAGTGCCTCAGAGTCCAGTACAGTAGCCCTGACTGGGCTGCTAGTCAGAGAGAAATCCTGGATAAACATAAATAAAATTCAAATCCTACCTAGGCAAAAATTCAAGCTGTATTAAGTGGTTAGGTAGAGAATCATCTGGACATACATTATTGTCTTTGTCAACAGCCAAAATAAAAAGAAGAGAATCCCCTAGCAACATTATAGCCTGGTAGAGCAGGAAATCATGGTTATCAGAAAGAATTATAATGTGGTTTTGATATGAATGTGCTTATCTATTTTTATTCTTTATGTCAAACCTTTTTATGTCTTATCTCCTTCAGGTACATAAATGAAGGACTGAGAATTAACTCAGCAGTTAAATTAGGGGATTAAATGAATGAACAGGGTGGCTGTATGAAGTTTAAGGTTTTTCCCCACCTCTCTTCACACTACAAACATATGTTATAAAATGACTAAATAGCAAACTTCAGATCAACTATGCAAAAATAAAAATAAAGCAGTAAGAGAATGTACAGCTACACAACATAGAAGAGGTTTCATATGTTGAGGTGGGTGGTAAAAAGACCAGCCTGGAGCAATTTCACTGCAAACAAAGTAAAGTCTATCAAACAGGAAATCAGAACAGTTGCCAATCCCAATTTTACCTGGAGATACCTACCTGAAGAATTAACTAAATCCATTATGGTTAGATAACCCACAATTCCAATCGCGTAACTCAGTTTACAGATTAGGAGGAACCATCCTATGGATAAGAGAAAAGAAAGACTGCTCAAGACTTTGCATATTTTGCAGAGTGGTACAAAATGCCACATATGTAGCTTCTACTGAAGTATTCATATAAATTCAATAGAAGTTTTACATGTCTATATTTCTCCCTTACCTAAAGATGAATAAGAATGTATAATACAGGAAAAAGTACAGGAGAAAAAAAAAAAAAAAGAAAAAGAAAAATACCCAACACCACCAAAACCTTTTTGTTTTGCTTCAGTCTTCACAAGAAATGGTAATTGTGAACAGATTGCTAACATAATTAAAACTAACAGTTGAGAATTGTGAAGGAGGGAGACATAGGCCAGAACAGGGCAAGAACAGGTAAAAAACAACTGAAATAAGTTATATATAGTCAAGTTAGTATACCATAATGAAATTTATCTAAAATACTTAGTTGTTAGCAGAAGCAATCTCTGAACCATTAATAATTGTCTTTGCAAATCCAGCGCAGAAAGGCAGAGTTTCAGAAGATGGAGAAGGAAGAATACAGACCTCTTTTTAGGTAGGCAGAGGGTGCTCGAAGAAATAAATTCAGACTATTTGGTATATATACTAAATTGAGCCCTTCAGGGTTAATAACACCTGGGATGACTGCTGATGGTAAGAGTCTGCAGAACAAAAAAACGACATGGAACTGATGGAATTAATTTAATTTTAGCTCTTGTTTAATTCTTTTTCATTTGCATGTCATGTTTGATCAACATTGATTTAGAGGATTTTATTCATACTGTAGTTGAAAGATTCCCTCAAATTCAACTGCTAATGGCCCTTGTAATCTGGGAAGATTTGTTCCAGGGAAATTCTTATTTATTCTTCTCCTTCTACAGGTTTCCTTTAAGAAACAATACCAAAAAACCCCCAACCAAGGCAAAACCAACAAAAAAAGGGTCATACTGTGATGTTCTTCCTGAGAGAGGCTTGCAGGTTGCTCTGAAAGTGATGTAACTGGTAATAACTGAGAGTATTCCCCATGTGGACAGGGATCTCTACCAGTAAAGTCTGGTGGTGAAATAAAGAACAACCCACATCTGCAGCAGTGTGACTAACTGTTGGCAAAATTGAGACATTCATTTCAAAGTAATGACATCCTTGTGGTTCTATTTTGCATGGTTAGGTTTGATTAAGAGATTGCCAAACTGTAAAACTCATACCAAAAAACGTGACTTGTACAGCATCTGACACCGGAGCCTTTGACCCTAGAATAATGATGTTAGTCTGCCTTTCACCCTGTAAATAATTAGTGATCCCAGTGTAGTAAATGGTTATAACACTGAGATAAAACTCATCAGGCCTCCACATCCTATCCTCAAAAATCTAAACTGTCTATTGATAGAATTGATGCTACTGAAAAAAAAAAAAAAAAAGTTTAAAGTTTGTTTTCTAACTCAAATTATATACGGTGACCAAAGGACTAAAGCTTTGGGAGCAGGTTTTCTGAAATCAGTGGAGGCAGTTTGGCCTTTAAGCCTTAGAGCTGCTCTCACAAACTTTCAGAAAGGTGTATTTAGCTGCATTAATTTGGGATGCTGCTCAGTTACATAACCACACTGCTGAAGGTTTTTCTTAAAAACTCTACAGCACAACAAAATGCTGTGACTTAAACTTTTAAACTTCTTCCTAAATGAAATTATATCAAACTTAATATGTATATTTGCTTGAATGACTCACAGTGATGAAATATACTATTTCTTTTCCAATAAACAAATATTTGAAAGCCACTGGAGTCAAAAGCCCTGTAATGTCAGTTCTCTCCGTGATCACATTAATAAACCATGGATTTGGAATTGTGGAAGCCTGATGATGACAAAGGTAAAAGCAAGACTGACTTTAATACGTGTTTGTAGAGTTAGATCCTGCATCTTTACAAAAAGGATACTAAAAATAAATTAAAAAAAAAATCTGAGGGGAGATTGTTTCCAAATTTATGTTTGGTTTGGGGAGGGTAGATATTTTAAAAGCAGACAAAAAGCACAATCCATCTAGAGTAAAAAGTTATTTCTATGGAAGTTGAATCTTCCACTATCATTAGGTCACATCACTGTTATGCGTTTCTCCATCCTGCAGGCCTGCCTTTATGGGACCACAGTCTGCTGCTTGTGACTGTAAAAGTGACAGAGCTCCTTCCATGCCACTCAGACCTTCTGGCATGTCACTGGTCAGTGGTGCCTACACATCCCCGGTTGCAGAGCCTGAGGTCTCCCGGCCTTCACTGGGGGCTACCAAAAGCTCCCTGTTGCCTGCCTGCCTTGTTACTGTCCAGTGTGATCCCTCTCCAATGTGCTTACATACTGTGGGTTGCTTTTTTCCTGTAGACTGAAAGTAAAGTCTGAATTTCAGTGGTAAAGCCAAAACTTAATGGGCACACATCTTCATCTTATGTCTTTCTAATACAAATCTATAACAGAACTTTGTTATTATGTTAGTTGCAAAACGAAATTCTAATTAATTAAAAAATGTTCTCACCATCTTCTCTTGGGCAATACCATTATTAAATCTATTGGTATATATTGTTTGCAGTAATTGTTTCAAATTTTCTTATTGATTTTTATGTCTTCCAGATCGTTAATTTTAATACTATTAGCCTCTACATGAAATGCATGAGTATTTTGTCATGTAAATGAGGACAAAGATAGGAATCAAGTCATACAGATGAAAACCCCAGCATTGATTTATTATTAATACTGGAAGGTCACCATCTGGACAATTCCATAAAATAATACATCTGCATTGCTGCTAAATGGGAACTTTAACATCTGGATCATATTATTCAAAATTTTCCTCATCCACCCATCATAGCAAGAGGAATTTCCTGACAAATCAGATTGGTGCCCAAAGGTAAAATGTTTTTCTCATTACCGTACTTTAAATGAGCTCAAAAAGACCTAGAAGTGAAGTCAGCATCAGCGTCATAGACAACTTTCCCATTTTCTAATTATGCAGATTAAATAGGTCATACAAGCACCAACTGAAAAGTTCCCATCTGTCTTCTGCTTCCCTCACAATGCTCCCCCAACTCTGAGTGAGTAAGAATGCCCATCACCAGTAAATTCAACAGAGGAGCATTATTCCACTATCCTTTCCATCTTATAGCATATGGTGAAAACTGCATACATAAAGAAAATAACTGTGTAAATAATTAGATTTATTGTAAGAGACTGACCTTACCAGAACTTGTTAACTTGGCAATGCAAGCTAACTGGCTCTCTAAACTTCTAATTTCTTTTGATGCAGACATATTCAAATACTCAAAAACATATGCATGGAAGCAATAATAAGTCAGCTGTTTGTTTGGTTTTTTTAAAGGTTTAAATTAATATGCTTATACTTGATAGTACAATGGAAATTGGCAGGGATTTCTGTATTAAGTAAATCAACGAACCTTATTTTCAAGATTGGCCTCGTTACTTAGGTACAGAAATCAATGCCGTCATAACTATGCTACTCCCTTTTTCAACTATTACATTCCGAAGTAAGTTCTCACTACATGACTGCCACATGATACAAGATATATAATCAGTCAAATGGGCAACCACCTATGGGACCAGAAGTAAGGTTTTTGTACTTGAGATTGTTCTGAGACCACGACAAATCTGCCTTTCTATCTCAGATATTTTAGGATTTCTATTATGCCAGGGGAGAACAACTTCGTCTGCATAGATCACATTTATTTAATTTTCATCAATGGACAGCTTCCAACAACAAGCAAATTGCATTATAAGAATCAGTTGAGTAGCTGATAGTCAGAATTTCCTTTAGGAAAATACACAGCCAGAACACTAATGTGCTTTTTCCTTCCTTCTCCATTTGATATGCCAGACTACTGCCCTTATGTTGAGAAAAATTGATAGGAGAGAGTAGGATAGGAATGGCTTTTCAAGGATGGTAATTCTCTGACTACCATTCTTCATTGCCACTCCACATCACAGATCATATGATACAAGTTGCAAGCACATAATTGCTTGCACCTCACTGAATTAGAAGAAGACAAAATTTGTGAGAAAAATGGAGAAATGAGTATTAACACAGAGGCAAACCTATTGAAAATTATGTTTTTACAATGTGAATTAGCAGAACACAGGCTCCATATTTATTTTTTAAAATCTCAAATAACAAAATTCTCAAAAGCAACTGAGAAATGATCATTTTCTCTAGTCTGCTTCCTCATCATGTAGAAGGTAACCCCAAATAGTCAGCTAAAACAGAAAAAACACAATTGTCAGTGGTCTATATTTTATTTCAGGCTAAGACTTACTAGAAAAACATCTTCCCTATTTTCCCCTCCCTCCTCCATGCTAGGATCACACCCATGTTACTTTATATGGAGCCATCTGGTGAAGGGCAACCTCTTCCCTCTTGCCAAAATTATCCCCAGCTGAGTCTTGGTTGCTTTGCTGCAACTTTTTTGCTCTTGACTCTTTGAAATACGAGCCTTCTCCCTAGCATGCCTATTTTTTTTTTTTCTTTCTTTTTAGGAGACATTTTGCATTCTCGATAAGCCCGGATAAGGTTCTTTTGGAAGGTACAGGCTATCACTGTTTCTCTTGCATCGAGTAAGTAGTTGCTGTGTTTTATTTTTTGTTCCTTTGGAGCAAGCTAATGAATGCCCTTTCCATTTAGGGCTGGTTTTATGCTCCTTTTGACCTTCATTTCCTTTTTCTTTCAAAAAGAAACCGAACTTTTCTTTTTTACATGTTTGCAAAGCACTTTGAAGGGGGTGGGAAACCGAACTTTTCTTTTTTACATGTTTGCAAAGCACTTTGAAGGGGGTGGTGGGAGTCAATCACTGCAACCCTTTGCTTTAGTTCTACTGATACAACTGTGCCATTTTCTCTGAGCTCTTACTATGTCTGAGAATAGCATGAGTATTCAGAGCAGGGATGTACACATGCAAACACCCACATGACCTCAACAAATCAGACAGAAAGATTTGCCAGCTGATGCTGCCTTCCAAGCCATGATATGTAATGGAGGGCTGGCTACTTGTTTTGCTGAAAATAGAAAAGCAAGCCATTTTAGATGAGAGAAAAGGAGCCATAGGTCTACCCCTCCCATTGAAAAAAAAAATGTATTCTACTTCTACATCTGACTTTGCTTCTCTTTTGCTCCAAAAACTGAAAGCATATTGTTACAAGTAGGGGAAAGTGTTTGGTTTCTTCTATTCAGTATTAGACGCTGTTGTGCATAACCTATACACAAACTACACAGGCATAAACCAAGCAGTCAAAAACTGGATGGCAAGTAAGAGAAATGCGTAAGCAAGCAAAAGTAGAGGGCTGTTTCCTCTTTAGTGAGCACATGGTTGATTTTCAAATTTTGACTTATTTAAATGTTTCCTACCAAATCAAACAAAATTGATATGCACATGAATGCAAGCATAATAACTGCCACCTGGAAGAACTGTAATGCAGAAGTCTAGACCTGCCTGTACTTAAGGGAGCAGTAGTGGGTTTTTTTGTTGTTTATTTTTGTGTCAAATGGACAATTTCCTGTATGCATTAACCGAGTTGTTTAAATCCTAAATGCAACCATCTTTACGGTTTCTGCCCTTGTCAGAAAGTTTTCTTATCTGATGCAACAGTGTATACTAGTAATTTTTCATCTGTGTTGTGTAAGGATCTTATTAGTTATTCAGCTTTGTATCTTAATGTTTGTCCTGTTTGTTAGCCTTCAAAGTAGAGTGGATGAGATTTTGGCGGTTACAGTGCAGGTAGGAATTTGTAACTTTCAACATTGCTGCGTGACATGCTTTTAAAGAAAGCAAGCTAATGCAATGACATCAGCAGCGTGTTCGAAAGCTACACAGAAGTATCTGGGTATGAAACATGATGGCAGTTATAACTTAATACCCAAACTTGTAAATTGTTTTGGTGACAAACACTCTTCGATTACCAAATGTGGAATACATGCCATAAGCCATCTACTGGCAGAGACCCACTGTAAGTAATGTTCACTATTATAGAGTAACTTCATACATAGATAGTAGATGTGAGAATATATTACTCTCCCCACTAAACAGAGCATGAAGCGGAACTGCCAAAACTCGGTGCAAAGTGAACGATACTTCTATTTTTACTGAAAAAATTTCTGCTTCAGTTCCTCTTTTACTGGAGAAGGCCTTCCTGCTGCCACACAGCTATGCACTGAAAATTGAGGACCCAACATGCTTCTGGTGCAGATGTTTTGTTTATTTTAAAATGCACTACAAAAACAATCACAAAATCTTATCAAAGTGTTGTGATGTACTGGAGCCTCCCTAAATGAGACTAAATGCATTTTGAAGTGTATTTTTTTTTTCATATTGGCTATGTCACTTTGTAGGTGTGACTGGCTTCTGTAAACTAATGTTGAAATTAGTTGGGAATGAAGCTTCAGTGGCTGAAGACTAAGTTACACAAGTAATAGAACTGTAACATGTAGGCTACTGTCAGTTTTGGCAGAGGTTAAGTCTATTTAGTACACATTAACTTTCAGTACTGCTGAGGAGGATAATGCCAAAGCAACATAGAGTATATGCTTTTTTAGACTCCCACAGGCCTTCCCAGGCAGACAGGGACTTCCCCAGCTGCTCATCATTGTACGCATACGTAGAGCTCAAGTGTGTTTCAGCACTGATTAAATACTAGTCTCATGCAAAATATTTTCAATGGAAAACAAAGACATGCACAGTCTGAGTGACTTCAGTCACTTCAGTGTTGTGTTCTTCATTCTAAATGTCTGTTGAAATCAGTAAGGCAAAAATTAGTAGGAAAGAAACATTTGAAAACCTCTAAACTGAGATGCTAACATGAACCTAAAATAATTGAATTATACAGCAGAACTGGTCTAGAAGAGAAGTTAAAAAGAACATAATGATAAAGTATTATTGTATATGATTATGCTATAAGTGCTCAGGGTTAGGCATGTGTGTTTGTAAAGGTAGAGAGTTAGTGACGTGAAGCTAAAATCCTCATTGAGCTACCCGTGACTTCATTAGACACTTCACCTGTATGTATGTTGTCATGATGAACATTTCATCACTGCTCCTAACTCTAAAGTATAGGTGAAGAGCCTTATTTCACAATCTCTGTATTGGAATTTTATGCCACTGTGAAACTCCACTAACAGTAAATAGGCTGGGTTTATATTCTATACTAAACAGTTTCTGTAAATTGTATCAAGGTTTCATTCTTCAGTGTTTAATAGACCTGTCAAATGAGAAGGTAGGATGCTTCAGAGTCAGAAGAGCAATTATCAAGAGATAAAGTATTGATCAGTTATTGACATCACTGCTACTAAGAAGTTCAATTACCAAAAACTGGATTTCAATCTACAGGTGGTTTAGGGCACCCCTCAACAGATGAAGATCAAAAAGTTAAGCAGATGCTTGTGTGCTTAAAATTCTGCCTGGTGAAATACCCATGTAATCCCCATTATCTGTTTAACATTTACTTAAAATTCATTTTAGAGGACTGGCCCTTTCTGAGATGTCTAGCTTTTTTAGAACTACTGAATAGGGAGGTCAGGGATGGAAATCATGTCACTCTGGTTTTCTCAGGTTTGCAGAGAAATCTGTGGTAGGGGAAAGGAAGTAAACTGAAGCACCATAAGCCCCAGTTTTAGCACCTTAACCACAAGACAAGCTTTCTCTCTAATTAGGCATGTGCATGAGTAACTTGATGAATAGGGCCCTTGGATTCTCTCAGTAAAACACTCTGTAGCATTACTTCAGCTAGATAAGGATAGTGACTCTGTTCTCCTAGTTGTATGAAAACTCAAAGCCTTTTCCTTAAAAGCTTTGACCTGCTAAAGACTGACCACAGCATCAGCATGCATACACAGAAAATAAAATACAAATTATTTTCTCTACCTACATAAAAGCTATTCTCCACCTGACCAAAACCCATGGCTTTCTGCTTTCCATGAGGCTCAGTTGTCTTGCTAGATGTAAACCCTTAGGAGTATGTCATGATACCCAACTGTTACCTGAGAAAGCTCCAAAACTGCTGTCTTTCTGACAAGTTATTCACATTGTATGATCAACAGTGGCTCTGCTTCCACTTAAAAGCACAATCTGGGCAACAACCAAAATTGCAATGAGAACAAGAACCATCTCCCAATGCATCTGATTCACAGCCATGGTGCTTCACGGGCAGCTTCTGATGTTGCAACCTGAAAAGAAATTATGATATTTAAAAAAATCTAGATTGATTTGTTATACCTAAAGGTGACAGTAAGCCTCTGTATGAGAGATACGTTATGAGAAAATAGGTTAGTGTTGTTATGCATGAAAATATAAGATAACAAACTAGATAAGAATATTTGGTCTTTGTAACTGGAACAATTATCCTGAAAAAGGAAATGTAAAGTAATGGGCAGTGTTGTTTGGGGTTTTTTGGTTTTGTGGGTTTTTTTCTTTTTCTAGTAACTCAGTCCTGAACATAAATATAGACATAATTATATAGTACCACGAATTTTAAGCAGACCTTTCATAATCACAGATCTGAGTCCCACATAATCTTTTAGCTTAAGGTAAATGCAAACCCAGAAGAAGGCTTAAATTCTTGTTTCAGCTTCCTTCCCTGTAAAGTGAGAAGTGTAGCTGGTATTTATCTTCCTTTCAGAGTTAATGAAAGTTTCTTTGAGCCCCTAAGAAAGGAGGGGATTGTCTTGGAGCTATAAATTAGCCTCCTTCATAACTAAAGCTGAGTAAGTTTCTCTTTTAGAATGGTGCTTCATGTCCTTATAGTAAGAATCTTGATCTTCATCTGATCTTGAATCTGGATGTTAGTTTTCCGCTGAACTGGAGCTTTCCAGGCCTACATTTCAGTACTCAACAGCACCTCCTGGCTTCTAGATCTGTGTATGCACTGAGTGCATCCCAGCTGCACCCTGAAACGAAGTTAGAGAGAGACATCCACTGTCTCACTTCCCCTTCCATGGTCTGCTCTCTGTGGGAAGAAGCACCATGGGTATGGGCTGGAAGGGAGCTGCAGCATGTTCTGGTTGATGCCTGCCCTGGATGATTTGTGGATCAAGACTTTGTGTCACAGTGGCTGATGGGCAGCAGCTACTCTATTCAGACACAGTTGCTGTTAAACCAGTTGGCATCCAGATTTGAGCAAGGAACTACACAAAAGCATGAAGCTGTTCTTTGCTTCTATTACTTGCTATTCCATTTTGGACAAACTTTGAGTCCAATTAAAACTTGTGACTTTGCAGAAATCTCGATGGAGGTTTAAAGCATGTGGTTCTTTCCCATCCCTTCAGAAGGCAAAAGTTTAACAGTAGCCACGCTTTTTTCCATTTAAAAGAAACTGCTATGTGTTGGATGCTGCGTTCAGATGCCACAGCACCAGAGAAGGTACTGATACCAGTGTTAAACATCTTTCCTCCCAGCTTTATGCAAGTACCACAGAGTACTACTTCTTTTTTTGCTGACAGTGTGCTTAAGTATCTCAAAGCAGCCCATTGGTGTAATGCACTTGGTGTCCTTCAGGCTGCTGTCAGGGATGGCCCCTTATTGGAGGCTCACTGGTGCTGGGTATGCTGGAGGCGCAAGCCTATAGATGGAGGTAGCGTAATTAATGTGCATCCTAAGTAAAGGGGAGGCAGAAACAGGGAGATAACAAGCTTCTCCTCACCACCCCCCTCAAGCAGTCATTAAAAAGATGGCTAAAGCACCATTTCTTTATATTAGACTTGCAAGAACAGGAAGCGTTATATTTATTGTACCTAAAGGAAAACATTGTACTACAACAGCAGTCTCTGTAATGATCGCTGTAAAGCTGTTCCATATATTGTTTTGCTGAGAAACAGATTAAACTGACAGAATAAAAAGTTCCAGTAAAACTTTTCAAGAAAAGAAAATTCTTTACTAACTACACTTCTGTGAACAAAATGTTAAAGGTTTCTGGTATTGCTATAAATGTACAATTCATTTAACAAAACATTTGCAAGCAATATGTAAATTAACTTACTTCCATTGTTCCTCTGTTGATAATAAATCATTTTCCTGAAACACATTCAGAACAAGTATTATAACTTCATGGTGAACAACAGCCAGATGGGTTTTCTTCTCTTAACTCTCACCACCCTTTCCATCCTGTGAGTTACTGGACATGTTGGCAAGTTCCCTCTGTCCCCCTTGCCTGGAAGCTGCTTAGAAACCTGCAGCTGTGCCAAGGATGGCAGTCATGCAGTTTCAATGGCTGTGATGTACAATGGGTGCCCCTAATGAATCCCCTCAGGGTGATTGACCAACAGGGATGAGGGCATACTTGAGAGACCTACAGCAGAACTTTAGCCAAAACAGACCTTGGTGGATATCTGGACCAACCTCCAGCGCAAAAGAGAGTGAAGGACATCAGCTTGCTCAGGGCTGAGTCCAACTGAATAATTAGTCTCCATGGATGGATATTTCACTGCCCCTCTGGGCCTCCTGTGGCAGTGAATTCTCTTTTTCTTCTTCAATACACAGGGACAAAATCACTGCAACAAACTTAGCAAGCAGAAGTTTAAATGAAATATCTCCTAGACTTAATCAAAAAGGTTTAGGTCTGATCTTTCAGCTGCTCTGATTAAGCAGCTGTACAGGTACACCATAAAGTCTGTGGAATAGATCACACACACACAAGGTTGAAAAGGGGAATTCAAGAGCATTCAATGAAGTCTAAAGATAGTACTTCTAGTTCTAAACTGGGTTCTATCAGAAAAGGTCATTATCAAAGATGGTTTAGTTTTTGTTTTTCCTTCAATGTATTCCAATTCTATAAATAAGTTTAAATTTTCTATAGAAATTCCAGAATTCAAGGAGATAATTTTTTCCTGATCTTTATGAGTGTTTGCTGTTGTGCAGTTGAAATGACCATTTTTGGTGGTGGTGGTAGTTGTTGCTAATATAACTTGAAGTGTCAGGGTGCCACTTTATGTTGGCTTTTGTCATGTACATTTTAGCCCTGTGGGTGATGCGTCCCTGAATTTTGCTCTGAGTGCTGAGGGATACATTACAGTTTTACCATCTGCTTTAAGTAACCGTCTGGCACTTTGTACTTGTCTAAGGGAGGAACAGGGAATGCAAGTCACCATTCACTTGTGGAAAGATCTACACTTTTAGAAGAAGTTACAGCTGCACCTAGCAAACACTTCAAACCCATCTAGATGCCAAGCTGCCACTCTGCTTCCTCAGCGCCTTTTGGTGTTTCTATCAAAAAAAAAGTATGAGGCAATTGGCTCCTGATCTCTCATCTTTGGAGGTCATGAAGGTCAAATTGAGGAAATAAGGAAAGAAAAAAAAGTTTTCACTGCTGCAAAGTCAAGTAAAGGCATTGACAATCTAGTCTTAGTCAGCAAATACTGTAAAATGGAGACTTGCTTTTGTAGTTCATATGTATGCTAATGTACCTTTACAAAAGTGCTGGACTACACATCTGCAGACTCTAATCTCATTACAGCCAAATTAAATTGCTACAATTACATTATACAGCTCAAAATAGAGATGCATTTCAATTCATGCTGCATTATTTATTTGTTTACCGGCTGGCAAGTAACAGAGACCTTGCAGATTCTGAAAATGCATTTATATCTTGCTAATTGACCCTGATTTCTGTTGTTACTGTGCAATAAAACTGGAAATATGCTTAGAATAGTTTACATCCTGATTTTCTCAGCATTGTATGCTGTTACATTTTGACTTTGTAACAAGCTAGGGACCAGTTAAGAGGACGGCTAATGGGCCTTCAAAAATAAAATTAGTTTTATTTCAAAGACAGCAGATCATTCGCTAGTATTTCATCATATTCTATTAGTATACTTCCTTCCAACTTATTAAAGTGAGGAACTTGTACAAAATACTGTGGGTTTTTTTTGTTGTTGTTTTTATTTTTTCCCCAAAATTTTTCTTCAAATATCCATTTATCTGTGCCAGAATTTGGATATGACAGTGGTTAAGAAAAGGAAACAAAATTACAGTCCATGCAGTGTTTTAAACACTATTTTGAATAATGCACAGTCAAATGAATCCTTGAATCTACATCTTCTCTTTTTAAACTCTGATTGTCCTCCTCCTCCCCTTCAGTGGGTGGCAATGGCTTGGTGATGAGGGCTGCCCTGTACTATGTGGATGTGCTGCATGAGGCAAAGACCAGAGCAGCAGGTGAAGGCTTGTCACAACAAGGCAACTAGGATGGACTTTGTCCCTAGGGCAAAAAAATGGACAGGAGAGGTTAGGGAAAGTACTGTGGGATACTGCTACCTGGGTGCTGCAGTTTGTGGTGCAGGGGTTGGGAGAATGAATAATGACAGTAATGTACACAAGGCAGAACGGTGGAGTATGTTGACAGTGACCATGGAGAAATACAGTGCGTAGAGGCAAATACTATGTGGCAGCATGGTGCTGTGTGTGCAGCAGTGGGTGTAGTAACCCTGAGCAACCCTGGCCGTGAAGGTTGGGTACACAATTGAGGGGAGAGCACTGGGGGCTGCTGTGTGGCATGGAAACAAGGGACAGTATTGTGGCTGCTGGCAATGGGTAGAGGACAGCGAAGCCCTGTTTTAATGTGTAGACAGACTAAGGTATCTGAAGGTTTTATTTGGCCTCCAGGAAAAGGACAATTTAAGGTTTTGGACCCAGCTAGGGCCTGTAACATCAGCATGTAATGGATGATCAGTGAATGTATGGCCACGAGCAAGGCTTTGCCCTTGACAGTGTTCCCTCAGTAGTGGCAAACTGTGACCTGGCAAAAAGGTATTTGGTATAAATGCTAAACTCTTTTCTAAACCCAGCATCTATCAGCAGCAGACAGGGATCAAGACTAGCTGCCATTTGTGCAGTCAGGGCCCCTCTTCTGGCTGTTGGGTAAAAAGTGCTTGCTAATGAAGTGTAAACTAACATTATCCACCTAAAGCTGGACAGAACAGGACAGGAAAATAATACTGTCTTAAAAGAATGGGCAGAATAGCTTTTATATTTGTAGAAGAATTATTTTTCTGAGACAGCACAGGTGAATCCCTGTTTATTTACACTGGGATGAAATAAAAACTTCAGAGCAGGCAAGCAGACGCACTGAGGTGTGCTTTAACTTCCTCAGTTGGATGACTGAGAGTTTCAGGAGTTTTTTAATCTTGAGGAAAGTAATTTCT